ACCTAACTCTTCCCTACCCTACCATACCCTACCCTACTACCCTACCCTACCCTACCCTACCCTACCCTACCCTACCCTACCCTACCCTACCCTAGTCCCTACCCTACCCTACCCTACCTTACCCTACCCTACCCTACCCTACCCTACCCTACCCTACCCTATCCTACCCTACCCTACCCTATCCTACCCTATACCCTACCCTACCATACCCTACCCTACCCTACCCCTACACTACCCTACCTTACCCTACCCTACCCTACCCAACCCTACACTACACTACCACCGACAGTCCAAGTTTCAGCTAAATCGGCCCAGAAACGGCCGAGATATTGCAAAAACAAATTAATTGTATTTACTGGCGAATCCCCTTGGCGAGCGGTGCCCTGTGTCGGCCTTCGTTGTCAAAGGTCAATGACCTGCCGGCTGTGATTGTTTCCACTCAGTTTTTTAAGCGAACAACTGAGCCTAAAGCACGTGCCCTCTGCTCGGCGCCGGTCGCGATTCTAATGCTAACCTCATGGCGCACATGAGCACGCGCCACGGGCGCACTCCCGGCCGCATCGTGCCCAAAATTTAATACGACCTGTTGAATTACGTGACCCACGAGTCGTGAAAATTTCACCCTCGTGCGTCAATCGACGGCGCCGCAATAGGCGTTTTTGGGAGTAACACCGACTGCGTAACCCCGACGGCGGCGGCGGCGGACTTTTTAAGATTTATAATAGTAGACTAGAGGTACAGGTTTACGCGATAACTGTATGTTTTGATTTATGTTATGTTACGGGTGCATTAGTTTGGGTGATTGACTTGTATTTTTAGCTGTATTATTTGTGTAGATTTGGGTAGCTGTTTTTAATTGAACTGTAAGGGATGGTGACAGTTGCGGGGTGTTCAAGTGTTTTGTATGTTGGGCCCTTTTTGAACTCAACCCTACCCCTACCCTACCCTACCCTACCCTACCCTACCCCTACACTACCCTACCATACCCTACCCTACCCTACCCCTACACTACCCTACCCTATCTTACCACTACCCTACCCTACCCTACCCTTCCCTACCCTACCCTACCCCTACACTACCCTACCCTAACCTACCCTACACTACCCTACCCTACCCTACCCCTACACTACCCTACCATACCCTACCCTATACCTACCCCTACACTACCCTACCCTACCCTACCCTAATCTAACCTACCTACCCTACCCTACCCTAACCTACCCTACCCTACCCTACCCTACCCTACAATCCCCTACCCTACCCTACCCTACCCTACCCTACCCTACCCTACTCATACACTACCGTACCTTACCCTACCCTACCCTACCCTACCCTACTCCTACACTAACTACCCTACCCTATCCTACCCTACCCTACCCTACCCCTACCCTACCCTACCCCTACACTACCCTAACGTACCCTACCCTACCCTACCCTTACACTATCCTACCCTACCCTACCCTACCCTACCCTACTCATACACTACCCTACCTTACCCTACCCTACCCTACCCTTCCCTACCCTACCCTACCCTACTCCTACACTAACCTACCCTACCCTACCCTACCCTACCCTACCTTACCCCTACACTATCCTACCCTACCCTACCCTAACCTACCCTACCCTACCCTACCCTACCCTACTCATACACTACCCTACCTTACCCTACCCTACCCTACCCTTCCCTACCCTACCCTACTCCTACACTAACCTACCCTACCCTATCCTACCCTACCCTACCCTACCCTACCCCTACTCTACCCAACCCCTACACTACCCTAACCTACCCTACCCTACCCTACCCTACCCTACCCCTACACTATCCTACCCTACCCTACCCTACCCTACTCATACACTACCCTACCTTACCCTACCCTACCCTACCCTGCTCCTACACTAACCTACCCTACCCTATCCTACCCTACTCTATCCTACCCTACCCTAACCTACCCCTACCCTACCCTAACCTACCCCTTCACTACCCTACCCTACCCTACCCTACCCTACCCTACCCTACCCTACCCTACCCTACCCTACCCTACCCTACCCTACCCCTACACTACCCTACCCTACCTTACCCTACCCTACCCTACCCAACCCTACACTACACTACCACCGACAGTCCAAGTTTCAGCTAAATCGGCCCAGAAACGGCTGAGATATTGCAAACACAAATTTATCGTATTTACTGGCGAATCCCCTTGGCGAGGGGTGCCCGGCGCCGGTATTCGTTGTCAAAGGTCAATGACCTGCCGGCTCTGATGCTTTTCACTCAGTTTTTTAAGCGAGCAACTGAGCCTGAAGCACGTGCCCTCTGCTCGGCGCCGGTCGCGATTCTAATGCTAACCTCATGGCGCACATGAGCACGCGCCACGGGCGCACTCCCGGCCGCATCGTGCCCAAAATTTAATACGACCTGTTGAATTACGTGACCCACGAGTCGTGAAAATTTCACCCTCGTGCGTCAATCGACGGCGCCGCAATAGGCGTTTTTGGGAGTAACACCGACTGCGTAACCCCGACGGCGGCGGCGGCGGACTTTTTAAGATTTATAATAGTAGATTATAACCCTCGCATGTGTGCGGCGTTTGCCAGCTTCTAATGTGTAGGGGGGGGGGGGTCGGTTGGACCCCCCCTTGCCGTTTGGCCCCTGATCGAGCTAGAGCTTCGCGGAAAAAACGAGCGTGTTGCCCGTGACGAGAGGAAGCCGATGATACCCAATTTTAAGGTCCTAGGTCATTGGTTGACCTTCCAGGTCAGGTCAATGACCCGAAAACCGGGAAAATCGGGACCTGTTAGAAAGTCGTAAAGTGTGGCTGCTAAGGGGTTTTTCGGGGTGCTGATCACGAATATCGTGTTAGTTTTGATCACAGATGATGTCTTGAAGCATTTAGACCAGGTCGGGTCAGGTCAGGTCAGGTCAACCAGTAGGCGTCGTGACGGGTATTCGTAGTACGTGTCAACCGCCTCTGACAGCTTCGTAACATGTTACGAAGTCACCAAAACTACTTCGTAAATGTTCAAATGGTTGCTAAATTCGAATTCAGCTCCAAAAACTAGCCTAGAAACATGTAAAACTCGAAAAAGTGACCCGAGGTCACCCGAGGTCACCAAAGGTCAATGACCTGACCTGACCTTCAGGTGACCTTGACACACACGGGAGTAACATCAAATCACATGTTTGAACGTTTGAAACCACGAAAAGCTTACAAACACGCGGCTAGTGCGAGCCGACATACGCGAAATCGCGATTCCGGCCAAACATGGTCTCGGAAAAGAGGTCACAGGTCAAAGGTCATTTGGGTCAGGGTCATGAAATTTTCAGGGTAGGTGTAAAATTGATCAATGCGAGGGTACTGAAAGTTTCGTCGCGATCGGCCGCTTTTTACGCGAGTTATTCGCGAAAAACCATGGGGGGGTCCATCCGACCCCCCCCCTACACATGCGAGGGATAAAAACCGTCGAAAATCAATAAGAAATAAAACAATCTTAGCTGCGCAGTTGTTCGTTCGTATCTCTCTGTCACGACTCACGACGGTCACGACCTAATTTCACATTTTTCTAGATCTCGTGATAAAGCATGAGCTACTTTTAACACAACGTAGGGGAGAGTGGGGTGGGTTGTATCAGTTTTTACTCCGAGACCCATAACCTCGTAACTATCCGTGATAAACTCATTATTTCCATACCATCTCCTTCCTTGATCCTTCTGCTTTTTTGTGCAAAGTAACTTTGCTGCTACCTCAACCAGTTTTTCTTCTACGGTCTGCCGAATAGAACAATGTTTTTGATACAACTTGCCCCATGGCTTGGGTGAGTTGTATCACGTGGTGGGGTAATTTGTATCACTAGGTATTTCACGTTTCAGGGGGTGTGCTTGCTACTGGTTTTGAACATAACAACAACATTAAATGGGGTTAATACAATGTATATGCTCAAAGGCTTAACTTTTAGGTATTAGACCAAACTTAGGTCAATGCAATCCGAACGAAATATCGAAAACGAACGAAACATCAGACTAGACGCAAAAGTGGCCCGTTAAGAGCAAAGAAGCCAACACATTGTGCCGAAATGGAACGAGTATTGACTAGCTACCTACAAACGCAAGCCAGGGCTTAGCTTTCGCGATCAAAAGCAGCATACCCATACATACATACATGTTACAACATACCCCACCCGGCTCTGATACAACATGTACCTCGCCGCCATCTTGGAAAAAAACATCCTCGTGCTCAAAAACAGCGGACAGCTGGAGAAATCCATTTTCACTCACGCAGCCTTAGAACCTACCATCACCAGCGCTACGGAGATCTTTCAAATTCCTGCACATCTAAATGCCCAAAACACACATTTTCATGCAACTTATTTTTTTAGAATGACATTAAAAAAACATAAAATCGGCTCTCACCTCGAGACGCGTCCACCCAGCCACACGACAGAACAGGGAAAGTTGGCGCCCGGAAAACCTCGTCGGCTGGTCGTGTCACGAGCGCCATCTATTGGATAAGTTTGGCACAATTCGCCCTGATACAACTTGGACATGATACAACTCTCCCCGCTCTCCCCTACCTCTCATATCCAGACAAAAGAAATGCAAAGAAATGTACACGTCCTACACATATACATTCACGTTTAAACACTAATTTGGATCGTTTGTTTATTTTGATCTGCTTGTTGAACTGTTTTCATATATAACAAAAAAGAGAAAACGAACTGATTCATAGGAAGATGCATGAGCTGTCCTAACTTCAAAATCGAGCTTTGGAGCTCCATACTGGGAATCGAGACTAGATACTTCTGCGAATGATGGAGATTTGAATCGAATGGTTTTATTGCTCCGTTGTATTGCTTTCTGGCACTGTGCAACATCAAAAGCGGCGCAGTGAGCCAGTGGGGCGCGATATCGCACCTGCACGACTCTGTGAGGTCGCCGTCTGGCGCAGCGCCAGCCACTGGTGCACCCCTCCCTCGAACTGGGTCGGCAGACGGTAACTCTTGGCGGCCGGCGCCGGTCGCACCGCCGCCTCCTCCTCAGACCGGGCCGACACTCACGGGAGACGCAGCGCCGCCGACGTGGGTGACCTGTGCCGGGTGATCGGTGACCTGTGCCAGGTAACCGGTGACCTGTGCCGGGTGACCGGTGGCCTGTGCCGGGTGACCGGTGACCTGTGGCCCGTCATTAGTGACCGGTGACCAGTGACCTGTGACCTGTGACCTGTGACCTGCGACCTGTGACCTGTGACTGCCGACGTGGGTGACCTGTGACCGGCGACCTGTGACCTCATCCAAAGATGGCACTCCAGCACCAGGTGACCTCACTGCGAAAATCTGCTTCCTAAGCTGGACGGGGCTTACCTTGTTTCGCAGTTTTAATAATTCCTATTGTCGATTATTACCACAATCCTGCAAAGGAGACAACGTTCATGATACCCTCATAATGTTCGACTAATTTCAATAGCTAATTACTTATTTAGCACTGTGTTCCTCCAAAACGCATGAAGTTATGTGAAACACAAGACCAATTTGATCTGATCGAAAGGGGATGCAATATACATTAACCCCCCCCCCCCCACATGGGCTAGTTGAGGCCAATATGGTTTCACTTTTTCAGGCCAAAGCCTAAACATTGCGACATGGTATAACAGGACTATGCTGGCATATAATAACCCCATTCTGTTTCAGACGATGCCATATGGCTTCAGTTGGATGGCCTTGAGGAGGAAGCTACCGCTCCTGCTGAGCGCTCTCACTGTAGTATTCCTTCTGTCAGTCAATCACATAATTCTAACACCAGCGTCTAGAGCCAGCGAGCAGGCTGGTAAGAAGTTTAGATACGTCCTATGCAAGTTACTGGTGGGCTACTCATTTCATGGATGTCTTAGGAAGTTGCTTGTAGTTACGCATTAACCCTCGCCGGTCGAGGGGAGGGGGCCAGATGTTTTTTTTCGCGATTCCTCAAAGCACGCTAGCGATATAGAGCTGAACGTTGGTACACCTGACATTCAATTCAAGCCAGAGCTCGTGACACCAGCTGCATTTTAAGATCAGGTCAGATCACTGACCTATGGCGTCATAAGTGAGCATCCTCACGGCCATAAAATGTCGCAACTTCGCAAAGCCAGGGGAGCTTTCGCACTAGGAAGATGAAATTAACAGGGTTCATCCAAACAAAAGTACATCATTCGACGCGCTCGAGCATAAAAACATATTGGTACTACTGTAAGATCGTGGCTCTGCGACCATTTTTGGGGACGCTATTCACCAAAAACTTAACCCATGGCTTGGGGCACTTGACCTTATCTCAGAGGTCACTGGTTGACCTGAGACCTAAAAGTCAGGTATACATACCAGTCGCTGCACTGTAACGGCGCATACGATTGCTTTTTCCGCCAGGCTCTAGCTCAACTGAGGGTAAAATGGCGAGGGGGCTGAACCCACCCCTGACCCTATGTAGCGAGCCCTAGAAACCGATATCATGCTGATGACGATTTAATAATCGAAACGCGTTCAGGCTATATTTTTCCGTGTTTTACTACTTGTCTCTATCGACACCTATAATACAATCATCCATAAGCGTAGGAACCATGGGTGCAAGGGTGCAGCTGCACCCACAATAGGGTAGCCTGGGGCAAGACGCCCCAGATAATTTATTCTGCTACATAACTTTTGTCCCACATCACCTGGAAGGCCAAATTTGTGCTCAATGCGTTCTTTGGACATTTGACTTTAAATTCCATCCCTCAAATTAATTCACTTATGATCGGACTCCCAGCTAGGAAGTGATTTGTGAAGCAACTGCAAATGGGGCATTTTGCCCCAACCCCAGGGCAAAACGCCCCACGGCCTGGGGCAAGACGCCCCATACTCTAGATTAAAGATTAAACATGCTAGTTGACTAAATCTTATATGAGAGGCTCGTTAGACCTTGGGAGGCACGGCACTGAAGTTAGCACCTTCCATCCTGTCAGGTGTTCAGCTATGACACTATTGTATGTACAGGTTTTTCACCTGCCTCATAAGACCAAATAATAAATTATTGCAATGCAAATGATAACAAAATACTTCCTTTGCCATTAATTTGCTGAGAAAAGTACATAAAATTGCCTAGAAACTTACTGTTCGCCACCTACCGAACATTAGGAAGTGGGTAGTCGGAACAACACATGAGGTAAAACGCCCCATGGGGCTTTTTGCCCCGCGACCTACTGGGGCGTTTTACCCCATCACGTAGTTTGGTCAGAGAACAACGCCTTGCACTCCAGCAAGACATAATTTAAAACGGACCAACCCAGCATTATAAGCGTTAGACAATAGTTGTTCAAAATACATAAAAGTCGTTAACCTGATGTGGACCATAAAAGAACGCCATGATGCATAATATGACTACAAAACATAAAAATCACTCCAAAAACAATTTTTTGGCTATATCTCCCTAAAGAGTTATCACAATTTCTTTCCAGTCTGCTCATATAATGATCATATAGTGCACGTTTTATAGAAGAGAGGATGTTTCCCCAGAACATTGCCAGTTCCGAGAAACATCGATGAGGCGTTTTACCTCGGCGGGGCGACTTGCCCCGGTCTACCCTATTTATCCAGTGGGTGCAGACAATGTATTCTGCACCCACAATAATCTGAACCAAAAACCCCTTTTTCATCAACACTACTTCCCATGCAGCACGGCAAATTCAGGATATGTTGCCTGCTATCCATCTTTCGAAGCATTTGCTACTGTGATCAGTGATGGTCTTCAAAACTTACATTTGTGCTGAAAAAAAAGGAAATGGAGCATGTGATTGAACACATACCTAACCGATGACCCACTGTCAAAAATGTTAGCCCGATATCTTCGAAAATGGCTAAGTTGGCCGCTTTTACTTTTTGCGGTAGTCAATATTGACAATATTAGCCCTCGAATGTGTGCAGCGTTTTCCAGCTTCTAATGTGTAGGGGGAGGGGGAGGGGGGTCGGTCGGACCCCCTGCCGTTCGGCCCCTGATCGAGCTAGAGCTTCGCGGAAAAAAACGAGGGTGTTGCCCGTGACGAGAGGAAGCCGATGATACCCAATTTTAAGGTCCTACTTCATTGGTTGACCTTCCAGGTCAGGTCAATATTCCAAAAGTCGGGAAAATCGGGACCTGCTAGAACTGCGTAAAGTGAAGCTGTTATCGGGTTTTTCGGGGTACTGATCACAAATATCTGATGTTAGTTTTGATCACAGATGATTTCTTCATGCATTTAGGCCAGATCGGGTCAGGTCAGGTCAGGTCAACCATTAGGCGTCCTACCGGCTATCCATAGTAGGTGTCAACTACCACTGACGGCGTCGTAGCATGTCACGAAAGCACTAAAACTACTTCGTAAACGTTCAAATGGATGCTAAATTCGAAATCAGCCCTATAAACTACCCTAGAAACATGTAAAACCCGAAAAAGTGAACCGAGGTCATCAAAGGTCAATGACCTGACCTGACCTTCAGGTTATCTTCACACCCACCGTGATGCATGGGAAGAACATCATTTCACATGTTTGGACGTCTACAATCACAAAAAGACTAGAAACGCGCGGATAATGTGAGCTGACATACGCCAAATCGCGATTCCGGCCGAACATGGTCTCGAGAATCAGGTCACAGGTCAAAGGTCTTTTGGGTCAGAGTCATGAAATTTTTAGAGTATGGTGTAAAACTGATCAACTCGAGGGTACTAAAAGTTTCGTCGCGATCGGCCGCTTTCTGCGCGAGTTATTTGCGAACAACCATGGGGGGGGGTCATCCGATCCCCCTACACATGCGAGGGTCAATGCTTCCAAAATCCAAATGCACTTATCGGTTGGTACCTTTTCGACATGGTACACCCTCAAAGCTCGTAACGAGCCTTCGCTCGGGTGTCGCCCCCCCCCCCCCCCGCTTCACCGGCCATGACTGGATTTCTGCACCCATGCACCCACAATGTTCCAGCCGTTCCTACGCCCATGCAATCATCTCCGCATTAAAGCCTTTCTCATGTTGTGAGTGCTCAAACCGGTAAGTGCAAGCCAGACACCCCAATTTGGCTCTCTACTCACCAGTATATCGCCTTTTGGGGCGACTAACGGAGCGAGCGAGGGGTGAGTCTTGCATGAGTTGCACGTGCGAAATTTCGAGGGGTACCTCCAACTGACTTGTGTACGGCACCCTACTGACCGGTTTCTAGCGATGTGCCAAATTTGAGCACAATCGGTCCAGCCGTTCTCGAGATCTGGGAGCGCCACCCTGCATGTGCGCACGTGCAAAATGGGTCCCAACTGACTTGTGCACGGCACCCTACTAACTGGTCCCTAACCGAGTACCAAATTTGAGCGTGCAGCAGCACCCCAACTCTGGCACATGGATAGGCAGTGCCTAGTGGGTGCCTACCTACATGCTAAATTTCAGCGCAATCGGCCAAGTGGTTACCGAGATATTGCAACAATTACAAAACTGACACCTCTTCGTTTTGCACGTGGCACGTGCATAAGGGGTCACCCACATGCATCGGGAATAGTCCAATACTTGGTAGAAGGAATGAAGCTACCCTGCAAAAATTACCGCATGTAAATCGGTCAAGTGGTTGCTGAGATATAAGCCTCGCAAAAGCGTCCGCACGGCCGGCCGGCCGGCTCCGTAAAAACTAATGTTAAGGTGGGATGGTCAAGTTAAGGTGATAACTTTGTTACCAGTATAGCGCCTTTTGGGGCGACTAACGGAGCGAGCGAGAGGGTGAGCCTTGCACGTGCGAAATTTCGAGGGGGTACCTCCAACTGACTTGTGCACGGCACCCTACTAACCGGTCTCTAGCGATGTGCCAAATTTGAGCACAATCGGCCCAGCCGTTCTCGAGATCTGGAAGCGGCACCCTGCACGTGCGCACGTGCAAAATGGGTCCAACTGACTTGTGCACGGCACCCTACTAACCGGTTGCTAACTGTGTACCAAATTTGAGCGCAATCGGTCGAGCCGTTCTCGAGATCTGAAAACGACCCCTGCACGTGCGCACGTGCAGCAGCACCCCAACTCTGGCACATGGACATGCAGTGCCTAGTGGGTGCCTACCTACATGCCAACTTTGAGCGCAATCGGCCAAGTAATTACCGAGATATTGCAACAATTGCAAAACTGACACCTCTTCGTTTTGCACGTGGCACGTGCATAAGGGGTCACCCACATGCATCGGGAATAGTCCAATACTTGGTAGAAGGAATGAAGCTACCCTACAAAAATTACCGCATGTAAATCGGTCAAGTGGTTGCTGAGATATAAGCCTCGCAAAAGCGTCCGCACGGCCGGCCGGCCGGCCGGCCGGCCGGCCGCTCATACTCAGAAATTTCCGTTATTCTACGTAAGACTCCGCTCGCTTCGCTCGCTCCGTAATCAGTGCATGTCCGGCCGGAGCGCTCTTAATTGGTAACGGGAGCCGTTTTCACGAAGGCTATCTGGTACACATTCGGCTCACATTTGGTGCAGATTTGGTGCAAATTCGGTCTAATTACGGAGCGAGCGAAGCGAGCGGAGTCTTACGTAGAATAACGGAAATTTCTGAGTATGAGCGGCCGGCCGGCCGGCCGGCCGGCCGGCCGTGGTCACGCTTCTGCGACGCTTATATCTCAGCAACCACTTGACCGATTTACATGCGGTAATTTTTGTAGGGTAGCTTCATTCCTTCTACCAAGTATTGGACTATTCCCGATGCATGTGGGTGACCCCTTATGCACGTGCCACGTGCAAAACGAAGAGGTGTCACTTTTGTAATTGTTGCAATATCTCGGTAACTACTTGGCCGATTGCGCTGAAAGTTGGCAT